GTGATGGTGACATCAGCCGTTAAAAATAAATAATACTCTGAGGTTTTTATGAATAATTTGTACTTTTACTTGAGTATTTCTCTAACACCAGTACTTTTACTTGTAAATGAGTAATATTTTAGCAATGTAACAGTACTTGTACTTGAGCACAGATTTTCAGAATTCTTTCCACCACTGCTGAAAACTGTAAATGCTCATTGTAACATGTTAATTAAAATGCTTAAGCAACAGACGTGACATGAAGATTGTATTGTTTGTTTTATGCAACATCAGGAGCCCTACACAGATATTTTGGGATGACATCAGCTGCCACTGAGGAACAGCCATCCACCAGTAGGCCAGTATTTGAACTTGAGGAGGGACAGTCTGCTGGCACCACATCTCCCCAGGAAGATACTTTAGGTGGGTTTTGCACGTGTGTGTGTGTGTGTGTGTCCAGCAAACATTTAGCTATAGACATTTAAATAGTATTTTCACAGAATATGGGAATTGTTCCATATAGTATGTGGTGAGTTATGCTTCCATTTTCTGTCAATAGAGAGACCTACCAGTCAATGTGAACTTGATGAGGGACAGCCAGCTGCCACATCTCCCCAACAAGATACGTCAAGTAAGTTTTGCACAAGTGTGTGTGTGTGTGTGTGTGTGTGTGTCCTGCAAACATTAGAGAAATTTGAATGTCACATATTGTATTTTAATAGAATATGTGAAATGGTCCACATAGCAATGTGTTGAGTTATGCTTCTGTTTTCTGTCAGCAGAAAAGCCTGAAACCAGTCAACCCATTGAAGGTGATGATGAGCCTCTTTCGTCAGACCCAGCCAAGTGGCCATCACCAATTACTGGCAGCGTTCGCACAGAGCTAGTTCGAAGAGGACCTACTAAGGTGCCAACTAGTTTTGTATTTCCCAGGAGTGAAGGCGATGGCAGATGTTGTCATCATCACTATTTCAATAGAACTTTGACAAGTGGTGAGAAGGTGGCCAGGAGCTGGATGTTGTACTCAGTTAGCAACAATAGCCTTGTTTGTTTCTGTTGTAAGTTGTTTTCAAAAAGAAGTATCCAGTTAACCACCTCGGGACTGGCAGATTGGACACATGCAAGTTCTTTACTGAACTCACATGAGAAAAGCCCCGACCACATTAACTGTATGAAAACCTGGAAGGAATTTACAGTTAGGTTAATGAAGGGCAAAACTATTGATAAAAAGGAGATGGCACTTTTGGAGGATGAGAGGGTGAGATGGAGAGCAGTACTGACACGTCTTACTGCTATTGTGCAGTCACTGGCAGTTCGGAACTTGGCACTCAGGGGGCACACAGAAGCGCTTTTCACACGATCAAATGGAAATTTTTTAAAAGAGGTTGAACTTATGGCCAGGTTTGACCCGATCATGAAGGAACACATTAACCGCATTCAAAGAGGAACCTCCAGTCACACCAGTTACCTAGGTCATCAAATCCAGAATGAGCTGATTGAGTTGTTGAGCAACAAGATCATCTCAACAATAGTAAGTGAGATAAAGCAGGCAAAGTTCTTTTCCATCATCCTTGACTGCACTCCTGACAACAGCAACATTGAGCAGCTGTCAGTTGTGATTCGGTTTGTGGAGGTAAAAGAGACGACACCTCTTGTGAAAGAATGTTTCCTGGGGTTTTTTGAGGCAGTTGAGTCCACAGGCAGTCATTTGGCTTCCATGACTTTGGACAAACTGAAAGAACTAGACATTCCTTTTGAGGACTGCAGAGGGCAGTCGTACGACAACGGATCCAACATGCGTGGAAAAAACAAAGGAGTACAAGCTCGGCTCTTACAAGAAAACCCCAGAGCTCTTTTTATGCCCTGTGTAGCACACACTCTAAATTTGGTGGTTTCAGATGCTGCTAATGATTCAGTTGATGCCATGAGCTACTTTGGCATCCTTCAAAAGATCTACAACCTCTTTTCCGCCTCCACACAAAGATGGACTATTCTTAAAAGCCATGTGAATCTCACCTTGAAGATGTGGTCCGACACAAGGTGGGAGAGTAAAATTAAGAGCATCGAACCTTTCAGGTACGAGGCAGCTGCAGTGCGAGAAGCACTGATCAAGGTAAGAGAAACTACCAAGGAACCAAAAACAAAGGTAGAAGCCCAGTCCTTGTCAGAGGAGGTTGGTTCGTACAGATTTAGTATCTGCACAGCAGTCTGGTATGACATCCTCTTCCAGATTCAGCATGTCAGCAAGCTTGTGCAGTCACCAAATATGGCAGTGGATGTTGCAGTCAATCTTCTTAGAAATACGCACAGAAGTCTTGAGCAGTATAGGGAAACTGGCTTTAAGTCTGCTCAGATAATAGCCAGAGACACATGTGCAGACATGAATGTGGAGGTTGTGCTGAAAGAGAAAAGGTTGAGATCTACCAAGCGCCACTACTCTTATGAAGCCACTGATGAGCCCATCAGTGATGCCCTGAAGAGGCTGGAGGTTTCATTCTTCAATGTTGCTGTGGATGCTGCCTTATCAGCCATTCTTGAGAGATTCACGACGCTGGAAGATGTGGGACAGAAATTTGCTGTGTTGACAAATTTCCCAAGCCTTTCAGATGAGGAGCTTGCAGAGAAATGTGATGCACTTGGAACCATTTTGGAGTTCAATGGAAAGTCTGACCTGGACAGAAAAGAACTTGTGAAAGAGATGAAAAATTTCCCCAGCCTGCCACCACAGGACATGCTTGGCCTTTTAACATTTCTTCACAAGAACCATCTCACCGAGATCTACCCCAACCTCTGGACTGGTCTCAGAATTGCACTTACAGTTCCCATGACAGTGGCTGAAGCAGAGAGGAGCTTTTCAAAACTTAAGCTAATAAAAAACTACCTGAGGTCAACCATGTCCCAGGAGCGTTTATCTGGCCTCAGCATCATCAGCATTAACTTCCAAGTTGGGGAGGAGATATCATATGATGATATCATTGACGAATTTGCTTCAAGGAAAGCTAGAAAGCAACACTTTTGAAGTCACTCAACTGTCACCTCTAATCCAATCAAATCCTGTCACACACAAAAAACCCCACAAAAGAACACACAATGCTTAAAAAGCCCAAATTGTTGCAACTTTGTTTCTCTAGTTTTTTTTTTCATTTGTTTGTTTTTCAAGACTTGTGTTTTTAATTACGTTTGGAATTGTAATAATTGTATTTATTTGTATACATCCTTTGTTGCTGCTGCCTGTTTTTATTTTTATTTGTTTCTAAATGTATATATTTGAAAAGTTTCAGTGCAGTGTGTATGTGGGGGTTAAATCTTGCAATACAAGAACTTTGTTGTATATAATACACTCCATGCAATTTCAAACAAAGTTGTAGGTGTAATTTTTTTTCCGGGTGGGTGGGTGTGTGTGTGTGTGTGGGGGGGGGGGGGGGCGTCACAGGGGGTTCTCGCACAGGGCGCCATTTAGGCTAGCTCCGCCTCTGGTCCTACTATATATATATATTTTAGATGCTATGGGGAAAACGAACGCTAATGTGGCGTGATGACGTCATCAATATGTAAATTAGCACGTGACGTCATCTGGCGACATCTAGTGACTTTTGGGGGGAACTTCAGCTACTTTCAGTCAAAAACAGTTGGCAACACTGCTCACAGACACAGTTTGCTCCCTCTCTGTGCACAAATGACCTCTCGCCATGTATATTTTCGCTCGCGAGTCCCGTTCACACGCGCGCGAGTCCCGTTCACACGCGCGCTGTGGACCCAATGCGCGTGCACGGGTTGTGACACGGGTATGACGCGATAAGTGTAGTTTGTCCGAGACAGCGGAGCTGCAGAGACCGGCAGCAGGCGCTGAAAAAACACAAAGGAGGGGGCTTCGTCGGCTCCGCGCTGCCGCCGCAAAGCATCATGGGAGTTGAAGTCTTTGCGGTAAAATCGGCCAGCGGGCCAGTTTTAATATATTTTTGATATTTATCTCGCGGGCCACATAAAAATGCCTTGACTCTGACATATGTGATGTAAGATGTCTGACTCCCATGCAGAAGACCTGGGTTTGATTCTGGATGTGAACATAGTTCATTTAGAGTTTTTTTTTTTACATTAATGGTATATTTTTTTTACAGTAAGATGCCCACATTTTTATTTGAGACTCGCCAAACGACACTGAATTCACAGATAAAAAAGATGTTGGTTCAACTTTCATTTTGGAACAATTTTTCAAGCAAGGGAAGGGAATGATCTGAGCATGCAGGAAGACTGACCCATCTTAAACCTTTGTCGGCTGTGCTGAAGAGAAAGGTACAGAACCAAATTATTTAATTAATTAGCTGCATGTTCTCCTGTCCTCTGTCCTCCGGGCCACACACACACGGGACTGTCTCAGCTGTTATTTTCGTTAAGCAGTGTGCACGTACAGCATGCACGCTTCGTGCACGAGCCTACTATTGAAGCTGCCGTTACGCTTTTGGCCTGAGGGGGCAATCACGAGCATAAAAATTCAAAAGTCCGTAAAGTCCCTTTAATGATTTTTGTTTAGAGGCGTTGTGGATAATTCTGTGGAGGTGAGGCTTGCCATACACTGGCGCCACCTGTTCCCTCCGACCACCAACCGCAGGGAAGGTGGGTTAAGTGCCTTGCCCAAGGACACGACAGCAGCATTCTCTGGTGGGAGTTGGGATTGAACCTGCAACCTTCTAATTACTGGACAACCCGCTCTACCTCCTGAGCTACTACTGTCCCTCATCAGTCCCCCAGTTTAGCGTCCGGATCACATCATGATCGCTCCACCCCAATCGGCCATCTTCTCTCTAATGAACAAGGAGCTCTTAAAAGAATGAAAACAATAAAAACTATATTCATCTCATGAAAATGAAGACCTTCTGCAAATGTAGCTCTAAAATGTCAATCTAATCCTGTTACATAACACTAATGAGCAGCAACCTGACTGTTACGGTTAGCATTTTTCCTTCAGTACTTGAGCACTGGCATCTAACTAATACTAATAGCCCCTCCTGTTGCCTTGGCAGCGAGCGTCTGTACATGCAGATGGCAGATGTGATGGTGAAGGAGGGCTGGAAAGAGGCTGGATACGAGTACGTCTGCATCGATGACTGCTGGCCCTCCCTGCAGCGTGACACCCAGGGCCGCCTGCAGGCAGACCCCAATAGATTCCCAGGGGGGATCAAGAAACTGGCCGACTATGTGAGTAGATGTAAACAAAACTATGTCATAAAGATTATGCAGAATGGCATCATATTTAGGGTTTAAAACTGTGTTTCCAGTTTGTTCTAGAAGCCTTTGTTGAACAAATCTAGTGAGATTATGTAATCATGTTATTTACATGATGGAAACTCAGGTTTTAACATTCACCTGTGGGGAGAGGGAACCATTATGACAGATTGACCCTTAAGTCTGGCTCCACACTGATTGGGATCCACAGTAAATGGATATGGTAAAGTCCGGTCAGGCAGAGCATGTTGCAACAAATTTTCAGCTGTGTGACATCACCACCTACTGGTTGAAACACGTTACAGGAAAAACTGCAGTGTTTTAAAGAACGTTTTCCACTGCCAGGTCCATTCTAAAGGTCTGAAGCTGGGTATTTATGCAGATGTTGGGAAAACCACTTGTGCTGGGTACCCTGGTAGTCAGGGTTCCTATGAGGTGGATGCTCAGACTTTTGCTGACTGGGATGTGGATCTGCTCAAGTTTGATGGCTGCTTTATGGATTGGAAATTGCTGGGAGAAGGTAGGATTTTATTTCAACATTTTCAAACTTGTTAAGTTATACATCATAACTGGGTTACCTTGATGGTCTTTTAGTTTGACTTTTTTCTCTAATTCTTATCTATTAGACAAGACTGAATTACGTTTGTTCTGTTTAAGGCTACATCAATATGTCAAAAGCACTGAACAAAACCGGGAAGAGCATCCTGTACTCTTGTGAGTGGCCTTTGTACGAGTGGCCTTTCCACCAGGTGAGACAAACTTCCAACACAAAGGAGCTCTTTCAGTTACTCTGGGAAATTAATACAATAACTACCATTTAAGTCATTAAGAGATGTATGTACCTCCAGCCAAACTACACTGCCATTAGGGAGACGTGTAACCACTGGCGTAACTTCGATGATGTGTTTGACTCGTGGAATTCGATCAAGTCCATCTTGGACTGGACAGCTCTTCACCAGGACATCATTGTCCCTTCGGCTGGGCCCGGGGGATGGAATGACCCAGATATGGTACTGTTCCCAAATTCTACAACTTTACTTTTGGCATAATTTATATCCTGCTTCCTCTGACACAAACTAGCTTGAATTTATGACCTTAATCCATTTCTCTAGCTCGTAATCGGGAACTTTGGCCTAAGTCATGACCAGGAGGAGTCCCAGATGGCATTGTGGGCAATCATGGCAGCCCCTCTGCTCATGTCCAATGATCTCCGGAACATTTGTCCTCGTTCCAAGGCGCTGCTGCTGAACAAACACATCATAGAAATCAGCCAGGATTCACTGGGCAAACAGGGATCTCGCACTGCCAAGGTAAGGTTCGAACATGAGAAAACATAAAAAGCCTCTGAACCAACTGTCTGCATTTACAGCGTTAACGTTCCAGTTGTTAAAAATCTGACTGAAATGTATGATCTTGTTTCAGACAAATAGTTTTGAGGTGTGGGAGAGGCCTCTGTCTAAAGGCCGCCTGGCTGTCGCTGTCCTTAACAAGCAGGAAATAGGTGGACCACGAGGGTTTCCAATCAGTGGCATTCCTGGCTGGAAGATCTGTGACCCACAGTGTACCGTGACCCAGATCCTGCCAGAGTACAAGGAGATGGGTGTTCAAACCAAGCAGAGCAACATAGTCTTATCTGTGAACCCTTCAGGAACTGCTCTGGTGACCATCACCCCCATCGCTGGTGACCTCAGACGGCTTCACAAGTTGCTCTGGGAGAAGTTATCTGTCAGACGAATTTACACCAAATCTTTGTAGTATTCAGGTTCCCCTCAGATTAAAACGTAGCGATTCCATCTGATCGAATGTGCTTCTTAAATTGGGTGTTTGACATCTTAAATGGAATATAATTTATTGGGGTTTTTCAGTCTCACTGAAAGACTTATTCCCTTGCTTTTACTGCCTAGCTATTTAATCTAGGTTTATTTACACTGTTCTTTTCCCGATTTTATTGACTTCTCTTGTCTGGTTCTTTGTGCTATGCTCTAGCTGTTTTATTCTTATATATTATTCGTTTAACCTTATGTTTTTACCCCTGTACAGCACTTTGGTCAGCTCACATGCTGTTTTTAAATGTGCTTTATCAAATAAATGGAATGGAATAATTTATTAGGTTAGCTTGCCATTACTAAATGTTTACTTGCTGAAGATGAATGAATTCTGCATATTTGATAGAATTAGAGACTTAAAACAAAAGGTACGTTTCAACCATTTATTAAACAAGGTGACAACTTCATCCCTGAGAACGGACCACAGCTTAGAACTGGATGACCTGGCCCTGTAAGAGAACAGAGAACAATACTCAGAATGATTGGTTCCACATTCCCCCCCCAGTTCTGCTGGGGTGACATTACACCACAAAAATAAAAATGTGTTTACACTACTGAGGGTAAAATGCATAAATATAGAAAAGGGCCACCTTATCTCAAAAGCTAAAACCAAAGAGCTGGTATGAGTGCAGTACTGAATTCATTTAGTTTTCCCCACTTTCAAATAAATACAAATTTGAACTGAGTGATAATGAAAATAATTCTAAAGTACTCACTAAAGGTTTCAAAAATGTATCAACTTGGTCTGTCTCATCTGGGCAGCTGTTTCTGACTAAGATTACAGTTAAATATGAACCTTTAAAACAAAAGGGTACAGCCTGTATTCCTCTACTAGAAACAGTATTTGTGGTTTCTAGTTTTGAGTTATGTTGCCCTTGATTTTAAAGCAGGGTATCTGCAGGTTTAAGGGAGACAAATTTAAGACTTTTTAAGGACACTTTGACCAAATTGAAGCTATTTTTTTAATTAAATTTAAGCTATGATTTCCAGCTATTGCCTGGAACGTCGCGAACGTGGGATTAGCCATCCAGTTACCATTAAACTTGCACTTTCCCATGGCGCAAGCTCCCACTAGCTTAACCAGCTAATGTGCTCATCTAAAAAATAGCCCCCTTTCACTGAATGTATACGGTTCCGCTTATGCCAATATCATACACAAAAAAATGCTGAACACTAACTAGAAATTCACGAAATTTTTATAGAAATAAAAGAATCTTTTATTGGGTCTTTGTTAATTTAAACCCGTTGGAAACTGTATTTAAGGATTATTTGTCATTTTTAAGGTCTTAAATTTGGAAAAGCAAATTTAAGACTTTTTAAGGACCCGCGGATACCCCGTAAAGGCTACACAAGTACACGTTTAGTACTAAAGTACTCACCGGTGTGCCAAAATTCTATTTTTTTTAATGTAACAAATGAACCAAACAAAAAAAGAAATTTTTTTTTATCACCGATAAAGAGGATTAATTTTTTGCTTCTTAAAATTTTAAGACAGTCTTGCAGGATGGTCCTACTTAAGATTGTACTTAACAGATCATTTACTGTATTTTACTTTAAGAGTCAACTATATGAAATGTGTAAAGTATAACCTCAACCTTCTTGAGTTGTAGTTTTGGTTATACAATCAAGATACCAAATGAACCAGCAAATGTTAACAGCACATAATGTGATGTGTTATGTTCACGGTCTTAATAAACAAAAAAAAGGTTTTACAAACTCTAGCAAACAAAAACTTTAACATCTTCTACCCCAGGCTATGTTGTGAATTTTTTAGTAACACCCACCATTAACTTTTTTTTCACTTGTCAACAGCTTAGATTTAGAAAAATCCTAAACGACAGTTAAGGCAGCTCTTTGTATATAGCACATTTTATACAGAGGCATTTCAATGTGCTGAGAAAATGAAACTACGTGATGTAATAAATATACAGCTCCTTATCTAGCAAAGACACCGGAGTCCTACCTTTCTCTTCTTGTCACCACCCAACTCGAAGTGCTTGCATCTCTTGATGGCCAGCATTCTCTTGGATCTGCAGTTGGGCTCCACGCACTCAAGCCTCAGCACGATTTTCTTTGTGGTCTTTGCCTGAAATGGGCAGCGTTTCAGTCAGTAAAGATCCAACTACAGCTATACCAGAAGTGTAAATGATCGGTCAAGCTTTGCCGTAAAATTAGAATTACCTTTTTGCGGAAAATTGGCTTTGTCTGCCCACCATACCCACTCTGCTTTCTGTCGTATCTCCTCTTACCTGCCACACAGATTAGAGTTTAACGAACAACAAAACAACATTTTTGACCTCCTCTAAAGTAGAAGTGTTTACCCTGTGCATAGAGGGAATCCTTCCCCTTCTTGTACTGGGTAACTTTATGAGGCTGGTGCTTCTTGCACTTCTTGCAGTAAGTCCTGCGGGTTTTCGGGACGTTCACCTGCACAACAGAGCAACCAAAAGTTTAATAATCCGCACTTTCTGAGTCAAGAGAACTCCAGAGCGCTTTACACTACACTATATCATTCATCCATCACTCACTCACTCAGGTGGAGATGAGCTACAATGTAGGCTGTCGAGCACAGGCGCAATTAGTCCCTCCGACCACAATAATGCACAACAGGCCTCTCAGGTACAGTTACATAACAAGTACGAAGAGTATGTGTCAACATTCAAACCCCCAGCTAGGACAGAGACACGAGAAATGATTGAAAATGTAGTTGAAGAGGCGTAACATTTGACTAAACATATAGCGGTTAGCTTCCAGGCTAACTAGTGAAACAGGTTGGTTTTAGAGTTGGAGGTGCTTCACGAAAGAAAGGTAAATGTAACGCTATTTTAAATTAGCTACACAGCAAAAGTGTTAATACGAGTCATTTACACTGGCAGGAGGACACCGTGCTACCACAAAGAGTAGCGGTAGCACAGACAGCCAACACAGCGGTAAACTAAGCTTGTAAAATTAGTTAAAACAACCATAACATCAACAATATAGCCACTATGACATCCACTCAAATAACACTGTCACATCTAAGACTTGTTGTTCTACTTAAAATGCTTTAATTAGGAGGATTGACTTTGATTTTACAAAGTGTCATCGTGTAGTCGTTTCATACCATGGCTGCGCCCCGATGCAGAGGGAAAGAGGAAGACAGAAGCCGGAAGCAGTTCTTGAAACGCAACTCGGAGGTTAACGCGGCGACCTTTCTTTGCTCTGCCCCCTAGCGGCGGGAGGTGGTCATTTATTCCGGGAGAAACTGCTCAAATACGGAAAGTAAATAAATGTACACTAATTACAAGTGATGCTATTTTCAGATACACATGAAGGTTTCACAGATTTTATTAGAATAGAATTTGTTTTTGAAGCGACTGAAGAGCTGTTTTTAACCTAACTTTAATATTTACATTACTCACACGTCCCACAGAAGGAAACAAACTTTTTCTCCTCATCTTTTACTTATGCTCTTGCAACCTGTTTTACGCCACTAAATGTTTACAGTCATTTAAACCAACTTTACCCATACAAACTACTAAAAACTGATCTTTATACACTTATTCTAATAACTTAAGTCATGTAACATTACATTGCTTTGATGTTTCATGCAGGTAAAAGAAGAAAGTTTTTGGGTAAAGCACCGTTCAAGATAAAATTCACAAGGCACTTTACACACACAATACATTTTTTTAAAGAAAGTAGAAATGAAAAAAAGAAAAGTAAGAGAAACTGCAAAAATATACAGAAATACCAGTAATCTAAGCAACAGTATGAAAAAATCAAATAAGTAAAAAAATATGCACAACATCATGGAATGCAAAATGACCATACTAGATTCCTATCTCTTCCTCTTGCAGTAGTCAAATTGGCATGGGATTTAATAAGGAATCCCTTTAACCAGCTGTGTAGCTATGTGTTTTATTCAAACAAGGGTGCACAAATAAAGTTGAACCAAGCCTCCCCTTATCATCAAAACTGTCCAGAGGGCTGATATGAAAACGAGCAGGAAGAAAAAGGGGAAGTAAGTAGAGTTGATTCCTCTCTGTGGGTGTGTTTTAACTTCTTGCATCACAGCCTAACAAACACTTTATGAAATGAGAGCTACTGAAGCAAAGCTTCATCCCACAGTCTAAGGCTTCCAGCTGCATCTGCGGTTGCTTTTCTGATGTTTTACTCTTTCTGATGCTGGGTAAGTGTTTATAAATGCTCCTTTGTAGTGTGACGAGGCATTTCTAGTCTCACTTTGTTTGCAAGGTGACAAATTAGAGAAGAAGAAGACTAAAAACAAAAGTAAAAGCAAGTTTTTAGTTAAGTTATTTAAGGATCAAATATAGTGACGAGTTTTGCTTGTGAAGTAAATCCTGATAATCCAGTCTTGCTGCTACATTTGGTGAAAATTAAAAAGTTTTGAGTTGCGTTAGTGACAGCTGGTAAGGAGGTAACTGAGAAACTGCTGAATGCAAAAAACAAGGAAGAAATCTACATGGCATCATTAAAGAGGACAGACCACAAACTCGTAATCAGATAGTGTGGTTGAACTGTGGAGCTTAAGACAAATTACAACCCTGACACATGACTACATAGATCACTCAGTGTTAAAGCTTTGAGGTGTTTTGAAACAAATGAAAAGGTTTTTATTTTACTTTTATTTTCTCTATGTTATGCTTGCATGTTTGCTCTGACATTTTTGTTTTTTATGCCACTTATCTGTGAGGAAACATCAGGAAGAGAGCATCATTGGTTCCTGTTAATCTGTCATGCAATGCTCATGTTTGTTCTGTCATATGCAGTGGAAGTTCTTATAATGAAAAAGATTCACAGTTGTGTTGTAATTTCCTGTAAATTTAACTGGTTATGTCACACAAAAGATCACTCAGTGGGAAACAGCTAAAAATCGCCAGTGTGAGGTTTTACAGAAAAAAAGAGAACTTCAGGGTGTCGTTTACAAATCCATGTTCAATGTCTGCAGGGGTTAATCACGAGTGTAAAACTTAGATTTGAATGGTCTTTTTATTTGATAACGCAGTCAGGAAGAAGTTCTGCAGGCTCTCATTGTATGTCTGTGTAACACTGATGCTACTTCCTTATAAGTTTATCTGTGAGCCATCATGAGTCAACTCTCCTCAGAAAAGAGCGAAAAGTCCCTTTCTGGTAGCAATGGCACATTGAGTTAGACAGAAAAAACTGTTTTCCTTCCGATGCTTCTTATTATTACCATAAAATACAGTTTTATTTTGATTATAAGTGTGGTGAGATGTGAGAAAACAAAGGCGGTGACAAATGAGGAATGAGTAAACGACTTTTCGCTGAATGGGGAACATTACGGTCCAAGTGTCACAGCACAAACAAAGCTGTCCATTTGATGTACAGAAATGTCACAGTCCTGGTTAGGGAGAGATGGGCGCTTCTGCTCATACTACAATTACTATTGAAATGATAGAAGGAAGTGCTGGCAGGCTGAAAATAGGTTTAGCTACACAACCTCTGATAGACACTGGCTGCTGAGCCCTCAGATGTGTGACAAACAGGAGTTTTAAAGCCTGATTTTAATTCATGGTCAAGCTTCTTTTTTTCTTTTTTTTGCCATTTTAGGACAATGTGTTGTTGCTTAATGGGAAAATATACTTTTAGAAAAAAAAAATTGGTCACTGGACTTTTAGTTCTGCATTGGTGTCAACCAAAGATGACCTTACTACACAGCAACCTGTCCCCAAGTTTACTCTACACGTTTCAATGTCATTTTTGGACATGGTGTTAAAACACCACACACATTAAACATTTTAATTAGCCTATTTTTAAATGTGAGTGAGCGTGAAAGAGAAAGGTTAGGTTTATTTTATGTGAATCTGATTGATCAACCCTAAAACATTATTTAAAATGTTTATATTTTAAATTAAAGGTGCAGTAGGAATGACATCTTGTGATACAATCTGGTTACCACAGTCCCTTTTCAAAACACACGGGTGACTTTCTCACCGCAGTTACATGAGTATCATGGCTATTGGCTACAGATCAGCTACGGATCAGTACCACACAATTCTAGATGACAAGTGAAGAAGAGTCATGCACAGTAATGCCTGAATTACCCATCTCCTTCTGCGTGGGTACAGAGACACACAACACAAGTATTGGCGCTCAAACATTTGTGTCGGCATGGTCGGGGTTTGGTTGGGCTGGATAATGTGAGTTTGGTCTCAAACGGGCGGTGTAGTGTTCACTTATAAATCCGAGGAACTTCTCAGGAATGCGGAAATCCCCGAGCCTGTGGGCAGTATTTAATACGTGCGGGAAAGTCCATGGTGTCCTCCATTATAACGTAAACAAAGGCGGGCATGAGCTGTGTTGCCTTTGGAGACTCAGAACCACATTATTCTATAAATTTGCTGTGTGTGTCCTCATAATCTTGTGCCACACACACACTGATTTCTCCCCTGAGCAGCTGTCTGCTCGCCGGGGCAAGAGCTCCGATGCAGAGAACAGGCGCACACGCACGCACGCACACACACACACACACACACACACACACACGCATGCGCGCGCACACACACAGAGCTATTCTCTTCTCCCGTTCCCGCACTGATCGGCAGCTCCGTGTTACAGACAAAGGTTTACTTAACAGCATCCAGCATGAAAATGAATCGCGCGTGCATGCCCCCCCAACCCCCACCTCCTCTTCTCGCAGATCGGAGGTGGTTGGCGTAATTTCAGCCAGCCAATCAGTCCGTAGTGTCACCTAGATCCCAGTCTGACCACTGGGGAGAAGGTCTGAGAAAAAGAGTTGCCTCGGCACCAAAAATGCAAATCCGACCTGTGTGCGAAACCAAATTCCGGTCCCTTCTGGGAAAGGGCCAAACTGTCACTAATGTGGAAGCGCCATATGTGTCAACACAAGGGCTTTGCGACAGACCTGAAGAGGTTGACGGAGACGTGCCCAAGTTTTTTATTATTCGTCGAATACAACAGAAACCGCAAGCTTGTGATTGTCAGGGTGCCGCTTACTTTAAAATTGTTAACAACACCGCCATTGCCCCTTCAAAAAATAAAAATAAAAAGAGTGCCAAAAATATCTAGAGGCAGACACAGAGCAGATTGAGGAACATCTTGTGAAAAAAGTCAGACAATACTCGCCACACTCTATAGGACCCTCAGCAGGTCTACCATTGGCCTGAACAGAATTGTGTTATGCCAATCACAGCGCTCTATCGTTTTGATGGGCGAGATAATGCAATGGAGCAGAACAGCTAAGATGGTGGTGGCTTGTTTAAAACAGTCAAGTCAAGAGCAGACAGAGGTACTTAAGTTTTTTACTTCGAAAAATTTAATATTTGCGTCTTCTTCAACAGTGTGTGGACTGCCCCGTTGACTGACATCCATAACAGTGAGTACTTCATGTTGTTCATTGTCTAATAGCACACAGAGACAGTTTGAAAGACAACCATGGATTCCACCCCTCGACTGAGCTCTGTCTATGGGTCATGGCCAGATTATATATTCAAGCATGGCTTACGTAGGATGGCTTGCCAGGTTAGGCAACCGCATGAAGAGGTGAAGGAGAAGGAGGGACAGATTTTTCTGTTAAAATGTCTCTGAAATACATAAACGCAACACAAATAGACAAAAGTAAACACACTATTGTGGACCGGAGACGTACTGCAATGATACCTCTCGAAGAGTGCAACGCCCTGTTGTCCTGGCAGGGAATTGTTTGCAACAATCCCCAGACAACATAGAAGTTCGATGGATTAATGTCTCCAAGGGCGTCAGTTTGTTTTCAGAATTGCTGGGGACAATAACCATACACTTGAGTGGGGTTTAAAAATTGCTGGGGACAATAAAGTAGGCTAGCACAGGGGTTGGCACCCCGCGCCTCTGGAGCCGCATGCGGCTCTTCCATCCATCTGATGCGGCTCTCTGTGCTTGTAAACAAACATCAGAGCTTTATACTGGACACTGTGTTCAGCGCGGCTCGGAGCGCCCACGGTGGACAGTGGGCTGAAGATCTAGAGGGGTTCGCAGCGCAGCGCAGAACCACGGTGCATACGATAAGATTTCCTCCCACTGAAGCGGTCTGGAAACCTGGTCTCTCTGAGGGATGTGTCACTTGGAAAAATGTTCTTTTTATGAAATTATGAAACTTTGGCTGAATAGCGCTTGTTCCCGTCTCTAATATGGAGACGCATGACGCATCCAGTCGCCTCTTCAGCTCAGAAAGCACCTGTAGAGACATTTGATCACGCACAAAGTTTATGTGGAGCAGAAGCGGTCGGGCCACGGCAGGTGAAATGTTCCTAGCCTACATGAAGTGAAACTGTTTAATTGTAACATTAATATGTTACTGGACACGCTGCTCTGGTTGGTTAGTTTGAAGTGGAAAACACACACACACACACACACACACACACCAGATAAAATAATGCTGATAGCGTGGACTAGAAGCCAGGTGATGGTTTACGTATTTAAATGATGATCAGGCTGCTGTAAAATGTAATCTCCATCCACATCCAGACACAATTATCCTCTATTCTGTCTCTATTTGCTCTGCTCTTGTCTGGGCTGACGTAGCTGATGGTGCGAGCGGTGCGCCTAACTAGCGGCTCTGATGCACATTTTACGCATTTGGAGAGGTGGGCTGGATGCTTTGCTTTTACTGGAAGATGGTCCACTTAACGCACGGGTGTAGACTACATATTAATGACAAATGAATGAAAATTAAACTGGGAGTTTTTACTTCATATTTTAGAAATTAAAATGACGGGGGAACACATTTATGACGTCTTTTTAAACGAAATTTTCTAGCGCGACCTGCTTGCTTCACTTGTCACTGCTTATTAAGGTCCGTCCAAAATTACCGTGACCCACCCAAAAATGAAAACCTGGCGCTGCGCCTGTTATAAACCTCTGCAAATTGTTGTTCTTCACTTGATCAAACTCAGACTTTGTACAGCTAATGTCAAGATGTAAAATTATAAATTCAGTCGAGCTCTTCCGTCCCTCCCTCTCCTGGAAACCCGACATCAGCTGTCAGAAGCGGGAGGTGAAGAAGGAGATGAGGCAAACAGAGTGAGTGCGACTAAAGAATCCAGACTGGTGTGGAGGTGAGCAAAACAGCTGGAAAAGTGTGGGTGTTGAATGATCTCAATAAGAAAAGTGTGGGTGTTGCATCGCCCCCATGAGATCTGAGCTGGTAAAACAAAAATCCTCATCAGCAGGCTTTTTTGAAAGTGGGGGGGACACAGCTGCCTATCACAAATTTTGCCGGGGACATGTCCCCGGCGTCCCCGGTTAAAATGACGCCTATGAATGTCTCCATCTCTGCGTGTGCACAACTCCAATAGAGAACTATAAATTAGGCTTCAGTTGATAGATAAATACATTTGACTGTAATATTAAGTTGCTCGTAATTGAAAAAGTAGCTTGAGATATTTTTGGAGCCGACAGTTTGTTGCTAAATCACAATTAGCATTGTTAGTCGTGGTGAACCGGGACAAAAATTCTGTACTGACACTTTTCAGTCCCGCAGGCCGTCAGAGTGGAGGGCAGGATGGGGGTACTTGCAAAAATTTCTCTGTGACGCCGCTCTCATTACTTTAGCTTTTCAAGCAGAGAGACACGGTGCCGCAGCCTGCTCGATCAGGGAGGTTAGGGTTAGGGTTAGATGGGACGGGAAGACGGGACCGACACACTTTGGATAAACGTCACACAGGGACACATTTGCTATGCCAGATGGCCAATTCACTATTGTTGTTAGCTCACCGTTAGCTCAGCGTTAGTCTCTAGCCTTCTTTACTCAATATTAGGGTAAAACAAAAAGATGCCATGGCTTCTTAGGGGTATGAGAAACCACTTTTGGACTGCTCCTTTAACTGACTTAAGATCTTCACTAAGCACTGCTGCATTTTGCCGGTCAGTGTAGAATTATAAATGTCTGCATGCGTTAGCTTGCATAGACCCTCAACCCTGCAAGCTCAAATATTGTAAACAAAGACTACAAGAGAAAAACAACCCCCAGCTGGCTGAGAAGGAAATCTGTTGCAACGTAACTTTTCGTCCAACATGATTGAGACATTAGACTGCTTTATGATTATTTCAATGTAAAATGTGTGCATATTGTATCTTTAAAACATCTCTGTATGTTGTAAAAAGAAGCCCAAATAAACAATTTATGTTCTCTGAAATCCAATTTGGGTTGTTTCCAGTCCACAAAAACCTTGAACCAGAAATTTCTGTATACTTTTCTACTTCCTTATGGTAAACTTTACATTAAAGACACTGATCATCACTACAAAGCAGCTGAGGAGAAATAGAGGAAAATATGCATGGCACGGGGGGAAATATTGGAAACAAAGGATGCTGCTGGCATGACAGAATTATGCAAACTACAGCGATATCATTCTCTCACACAGCATGTCTCTGTTCGTTTTCAGATCTATACTGTCACGCTAGCAGCATCAATCTAAATCTTTGAAAAAAGGGTGAGTATTGAATTTTTAAAAGGTGTAAAGACGTATGGTCAGAATTAAGTTGGGGGAGGTATTTTTGGGTGTTACTGTTCTCTCAGCAAACGTGTGAAGTAGCTTTAACTGCACACATGAAGCTGAGCTTTGTTTGTGTGTGTGTTTAAGAGTTGTAATAATTTTAAAATGTTTCTTTGTAGAATAATTTGGAGTAATCATGTCAGACATTTTACTGGAAGAAGTTTTTATTAAACGATCTCAGCAAAAGAAGAAAACCTCACCTTTGAACTACAAGGAGAGATGGTTCATTCTAACTAAGGAAAAGATTTCGTACTATGATTTTGATTCTGAAAAAATGGTACGTATGAGAGGAAGATCACATTTGTTTTAAATTCCGATAACCTGAACTAATCTCTAATCGTTTCATCGTCTGTTGAACAGAGGCGAAAAGGCCTGAAAGGTTCAGTTGATCTGGAAAAGATCAAGTGTGTGGAGACGGTTCAGCCTGAAGCTAACACCCCACAGGAGCGCCAGTTTGCATTCCAGGTTGATCTTCTATGTGTTTTTTTTTCCTTGAACAAAACTTAAATCACATACTTGAAAAATACACGCACATTTCCTGTTTATTTTACTCATAATATATATTTAGTTCTAAGGCAATATTTGATAATTTATTCTCTCAGATTGAAGCGTTTTGCAAAGTTCAGGTAGTTTATACTATGAAAGTCCTTTCTTGAGAAGTGAAACTGCCTGTGATGAATTTGGGGCTTTCAATGACAATGCAGGTGTTGCCATTTTCAGAATGTAACGCTAGAACTGAAGGGAAATAACTGAGTTACATGATGCATAATTTTCAAAGTAAAATTAATTAATGTCCTTATGGATTTTGTCACAGATCATATATGATGAAGGGCCGTTGTACATCTTTGCAAAACATGAAGAAGTTCGGGCTGAGTGGATAAAAAAGCTGAAGGAAAGTAAGTCTGCAGTGTCACACGTCTCTTCTGCTAATTTAGCTTTTCAGTCGCAATATCTCTGAGTCTATGTTGAAAATATGTGAACATATCTCACCATCTTCCTGCTTGTGGAACAGTGTCTGCTTGATGGAGCAAATGCAAATGTTCATTTAATTGATATCTCTGGTGCTGGCCTGCCTGTTTTTGTGCTATAGTGGTGCGCTTCAACAAAGAGCTGATGCAGAAGTATCATCCCTGTTTCTGGGTGGATGGGGTGTGGCTTTGCTGCCAGCAGGAAGTCAAGCAAGCTATGGGCTGCAAAGTACTGGATTCAAAGAATGGTGAGAATTAAACTATAGTTTGAAACAAGACCCCCATAACATTCAAAGAGTTGTGTATTCAATAAATATGCATTTTGTCTCTACTATGGGGAGAAACAAGTCTCAAAAGATCTGTGCATGTGTAACTAGATTTGTGTGTATAACAAGATTTGTGCGCGTGTCTAAAATAATAGCTGTGTCTTTGTAACCAGACAACAAAGTGTGCACGTTTAACTTCCATTTACTTAAAAGGAAAGACCACCAGGATGCCGTGCCATTAAATTCTTGTGTCTTTTCCTAGTTTGAATGCCAGCTTTTCTCAGTCAGAGAACTACTCCACCATCTAGCCGTTTTATTATGTTTTAATGGCTCATGAACACATTTATGTCAAAATAAGCAATATTAGAATAATAAAAAGCACATTTAGGTTGATCTTTTAAAACTACAAGATACTTAGATATTATATCTTATTTGCCCCTTCAAAACAAGTTTAAACCAACTTCAAAGACAATTCAGATTTCCCAGCTTTCACCCAGCATTCAAATGAACCATGTATGCACAAATCTGTCATGTGAAAAAAGAGTCTCAAAATATTTTTTGTATTTGTAAACTGATCTGTGTGTAATGTAGTTTTGTCCTTGTGTACCAGGTGACTTGTGTGTGTATAATCAATGACTTGTATAGGAGCTGAAGTTACACAAAAAATGTAAACACAAGTTACAAATCAAGAGTTACACATGCACAGATCTAGCTCCATGGGCTTCCACCTTACCATAGTGGAGGGGTTTGAGTGTCCCAGTGGGAGCCAAGTTGTCTGAGGTTTAATGCCTGTGGTAGGGTCACCCATGGCAAACAGGTTCTAGGTGAAGTATCAGACAAAGTGCAGACCAAAGACTCCTTATGAAGACAAACATAAATGGAATCTGGATGCCAAAAGAACTCCAGCCAGGCCTGGAGGTGGGGCATGTTGAAAAAGCACCTGATGGCTGAGCTTTTACCCTTGGAGCCTGGCCGGGCACAGCCCGAGGAGGAGACCTTGATTCCCCTTTCCATGAGCTCACCGCTCGTGAGAGGGGCTTAAGCTCCGGTTCATTGTGTGTTTGGTGGTAGCCGAAGGCTGGGACTTTGGCGGTCTGATCCTCAGCTACAAAAGCTGGCTCTTGGTACGTGGAATGTCACCTCTCTGGTGGGGAAAGAGCCAGAGTTGGTGTATGAGGTTGAGAGGTTCCAGCTAGATATAGTTGGACTGACCTCAACGCATGGTTCTGGCTCTAAAATCAGTTGCCTTGAGAGAGGTTGGACATTCAACAACTCTTGGGGTTGGGGTTTACCACAGTGATTGAGAGGGTAGCCTCCCACACCGCCTTCATATGAGGGGACAGGTCCTGACTGTGGTTTGTGCTTATGCATCAAACTACAGTTCAGACTACCCACCCTTTTTGGAGTCCTTGGAGGGTGTTACTGGACTTCTGTGCTAGTCACGGATTGTCCACAATGAACACCATGTTCAAGCATAAAAGTGTCCATATGTGCTCTTGGCACCAGGATACCTTAGGCCGCAGTTGATGATCGACTTTGTTGTTTTTTTCATCTGATCTGCAGCCTCATGTCTTGGACACTTGGGTGAAGAGAGGGGCAGAGTTTTCAACTGACCACTACCTGGTGGTTGGCTTCGATGGTGGGGGAGGAAGCCGGTCAGGTCTGGAAGGCCTAAACATATTGTGAGGGTCTGCTGGGAATGTCGACCAGAGTCTCCTGTCAGAAGGAGCTTCAATTCCCACCTTCAACAGAATTTTGAACACATCCTGAGGGAAGCAGGGAACATTGAGTCCAAGTCTCGGGAGAGGAAAGCAGTGTGCAACCAATACAGTATGCAGCTGACCTCTGCTTGGGATGTTGTGGATTGGTGGGCGGAATACTTCAAAGACCTCCTCAATCCCACCGGTACATCTTCCAGTGAGGAAGTGGACTCTGGGTAATTTAGTCTTTCCAATCTCTGGGGGGTACTCTGGGAGTATGAGGTACAATCCCTCTGATAAGGGCTGGCAGGTCCCTGTATGACCGGTGTCAGAGCTTGGTCCGCATTGCCGGCAGTAAGTCATGCTCCTTTACAGTGAGAGTTGGACTCCACCAAGGTCACCAATTCTGTTCATATGTTTAGGCGCAGCCAAGGTGTTGAGGGCATCCGTTTTGGTGGCCTAAGGATCAGGTGTCTGCTTTTTGCAGATGATGTGGTCCTCCTGGCTTCATCAGAACATGATCTCCAGCTTTTGCTTGAGCAGTTTGCAACCAAGTGTGAAGCGGCTGGGATGAGAATCAGCTCCTCTGAATCGGAGACTATGGTCTTAAGTTGGAAAAGGGTAGAATGAGGGGATGAGGTCCTGCCTCAAGTGGAGGAGTTTAAGTATCTCGGGGTCTTGTTCACGAATGAGGGAAAGATGGAGTGCGAGATGGACAGACAGATTGGTGCTGCGTCTGCAGTGATGTGAGTGTTGTACCGGACTATCGTGGTGAAGAGAGAGTAACGTTCTTACCCTCACCTATGGTCACAAGCTTTGGGGAGTGACCAAAAGAACAAGATTGTGGATACAAGTGGCCAAAATGCATTTTCTCCGTATGGTGGCTGGGCTCTCCCTTAGAGATAGGGTGAGAAGCTCGGCCATCTTGGAGGGGCTCGGAGTAGACTTGCTGCTCCTCCATGTTGAGAGGAGCCAGTTGAGGTGACTTGGGCATTTGGTCCGGATACCTCCTTGACGCTTCCCTGGTGAGGTTTTCCGGGCACGGAAAGACCCAAGACACGCTGGAGAGACTGTGTCTCTCGGATGGCCAAGGAACGCCTTGGGATTCCCCCAGAGGAGCCGGCCTAAGTAGCTGGGGAGAGGGAAGTCTGGGCCTTTCAGCTTAGGCTTCTGCCCCTGCAACCGACTCCGGATAAGCGGCTGAAAATGGATGGATGGATGGATGGATGGATGGATGGATGGATGGATGAATGGACAGATGTAGCTAAACACAGGGACATCTAGTTACACAGATTATTAGTTACACATGCACAGATCTTTTGAGACCTATTTTTCCTCATGCATTACTGGCTTTGGGTCGAGACGGAGAGTATCCAGGAAGCCTCTACCTCCAACCCCAACAGAGGTACAAACTGTCCTTTTAGATTCACATTCAAATATGTTATAATTTCTAGTTCCAATAATCTCATTTTGCTTTAGGAAAAGCCTGCGTCTGGGCCTGGGCTTGTTCGGCCTTTACCTCCCCAGCCTCTAGAGCCACCAGCCTCCTCCTCAATCCTGACTGTCATAGCTGAATATGACTACTCACCCATGACCCCCCAAGACCTGGAGCTGAGGAAGAATGAGGAGTATAGTATTCTGGAGAAGTCCGACGCCAACTGGTGGAGAGCTCAAGACAAATATGGGTGAGACAACTCCCACTTGAGAACAATAAAAATAGCGAGGCAATCTGTATACATTTGCATTATTTTAATCACATGAAAATCATAAGTTACATAAAATAGCAGGATGCTCACAAAGAGAAAGATTCACTGTTAGACTTGCTATTTGAAAATGGGACATATGCAAAACTCACCTTTTGCATCCTTTTGTGCAGCTATGTGGGTCTCTGCTGCCTCTATAGACACACCAAATGTAAAAAAATATCTTTCCATCCATGTTCTGTCAGTGTTTGATTTTAGGAATTACATATGTGCCTAAAACAAGTCATTTGAAAACGTCCCCATTTGTGGTGTCACAAACAGGGAAATTAGAATGGAACCACCTCTTATGGGCAAGAGAGCTACTTCTGGAGGAGCTGCAGCTCTACTGAGCCTCTCCCAGATATCAGAGCTTCTCAGGCCCTGTCAACACGTAGCCGGGGATCTGCCAAAACGTAGATATTTTTCTACGTTATGACCTGTCATCCACACGAAAACGGATCTTTTTAAAAACTCCGGCCAAAGTGAAGATCTGCGTTTTCTCCGTTTTGGGTGTCTGCGTGTGGACAGACAAAACCGGAGTTTTAAGGACTGCAACGTCACTTTCCGCGACAAAAAAATGCTGACATCACGTGTGCGACCTGTGTTTACACTAGCCGACAGCATGGATGTCCTCAGAGCTGTGCTCGCTTTATCAATTGTCCAAGCGCTTTTGCTTGTTTGTTTTTGCAAGCGGAATTACTGCTCCTTGCAGAAGACCACAGACGAAGGACGAGGTTAAGAAGGGGGAAGTACTGCCGCCTACAGGTCTGGCATGTCCTTAACAACGTATTTATCCGGGTATGTGTGGACAGAGTTTTTTTTTTAAACGAGGTGGTGTGGATGCAAGTTTTTAGAGGGGCGGATATTCGTTTTAAAAAAAACCCGGCTACGTGTGGACTAGGCCTCAGCTTATAGGGAGCAGTCTCCTCCCCCTCAAGTCGGCTCATGGGTCCCCGGAACAAAGAAAAAAACGAATGTAAGTGAATGGAGATATAAAAGCTATTTTCTAATCCGCTTTGCCTTACAACTCTTAATGACACATACTGTTAGACTTCAGTTTAAATGAAAAGTTATGATGTGTGTTTCGACTGAGTGTCACGTCATTTGAGATTTATTAGATTTTAAAAATTTGTAATTAAATTTACTACAAATCAGATGCCGTGTATATGACGTCATAGCAGAAACCCTTCAGTGTGGCTGCCACTTACCACATGGCCAGATTTATAGTGGTTTTGTCCTGTATTGAATCTCACTAAGCTTGTAGGCATTTTTCTTTTAGTGAGATGAGCATTTGTAGTCCTCTACGCCTTTTCACACAAAACCTAAATTAACTTTTGCTACCTGTCAAAAATAAGCACTTTCTAGGCATCAAAATGTGTCTTTAAAATTCATAGAAATGTGTGTAATCCATGGCACATATCAAACGGGATCAGAAAATAACTTTTATGCCACCATTGACTCCCATTCAATCATTTGGCAGTTGGGGATCCATGGTCCAGAAGAACGTGGGCGTGACTTCTGCTCCCACAGCAGTCTGAGAGAGGAATAGGTAGGCGTGGCCAGATCCAGATTGCGTTCTTAAAGTGTCAAAGCCCTGAAACAGCTCATTGTGGAAAGTACTGAAATATGTGAGATGGATTTATTGGGAAAAACTCCAGTAACATGTTTTGTATTGACCATGCTATTATAACTTAAGAAAAAAAGTCATCATATGTCCCCTGTTATTTAGCTTTTACAGGCTGTAAAAGCTAAATAACTTTAATTTAGTGCTTTGTGCAAACAACAGTATTAGGAATGTAAATAAATATTTTTTTTACTAAAAATTGGAAATTAACCAGTTCTGGGTCGGTTGATGTTCTGCCACTATTATCAGTCATTTGTTTTGCAGAAAAGAAGGCTATATACCAAGTAATTATGTAGTGGAGGCAGAAAAGGGGCTTGAAAAAAATGAGTGAGTATGAGTTCTGTCTATTAATGTATGGTTTGATGTCTTGTCTTTTCTATTCCTCAATATTTAAACCTTTATTTTCACAGTTGGTATTGCAAGAACATGAACCGTAGTCAAGCAGAACATCTGTTAAAGTCAGAGGTAAACTTCCCTGATGTGTTCACGCTCTTGTAAATTAGAGGGTGAAATGCAATAATGAAGACCTTTGTGATGTATAAATGCTGATTCCTGTTCCAGAACAAAGATGGAGGTTTCCTGGTACGGGACTCGAGCAAAGCTGGGAAATACACCGTGTCTTTGCTCACTAAGGGAGGAGGGTGAGTAACCTCAGTGGCATTAAAACACTGCTACCATTTATATTGTTGCTCCAGTGCTGTCAATCATGTGTGAACGTATGAAAAGAAGAACTGTGCGTAATGAAAGCGGAAACTGCAGGCCACAGAGGGACAGAGATGTAAATTATTTATGCAAAACGTGGACTAATCTGTCTGCAGAAGTTTTTTCTTCATCTAACCCTGAGCCCATCTGTGGATAACAGTGGACAGATATCATATGCACATGATTATAGCTGACTAGTTCCTGTGAAAATGAAAACCTGTTGATTTTTAATCATGCTTTAAACTTTCTCCACAGGGAAACAAGTGGAGTCTGTAAACATTATAACATCTGCACAACGCCACAGGGACAGGTTTACCTGGCAGAGAAGCATCACTTCAACACTATCCCAGAGCTCATCAACTATCACCAGCACAACGCAGCAGGTCAATAATCACAATCATGTGGGAGTGCAATGGCCAATAAAACACAAATAAAATCTGTTTACACTAGAGAAGAAAAGGAGAAATTACTAAAGGGAGGAAGATTTGTCAGACTGACACTTTCTTTTCCCATAAATATAAGGATCACTCTGGTCAAGGGGATTATTAAATGTTTAGACTTTAATAGTACCATGCCAGACCTTGAATATGTGAGTTTATAATTTGACATACTATGGTGCCATTTTTAACCAATTCAGAACTCATAAACATGGCTGATTCTTAACTATGATTTCATTTAATGAGTTCACAAACTCAATAAATATTTAAGTCCTCATCTCTGTGCCAGTCTGAGAACCACTGACTAGTCTTCACTAGGAAGCATGGACGTAATTTTCACTTTAGAAGTGGGGGGGACACGGGGGTGGCAGTGGGAGGGGTATCTTTACAGTATGTTCTAATGGGAAACAGGCTTCAACACAATAGGTTGTTTTCTGCTTGGTCCTAGAGCTCAACCAGTGTCAATTTAATATACAGTAATATTGTTTTTGGATGGTAAAAAGTGCAGGGGTCAAAACTTGACTTTGGAAAAAGTGGGGGGGACATGTCCCCCTGTCCCCCATCCCCCCCCCCCCCCCCCTCCATCCCCAAAGTACGTCCATGCTAGGAAGTGAAGATAATTTAAATGATTTCTACTTTAACTGGTTCTGATTTGTTGGTTGATCTTAGTAGCACTGTTGCCTTGCAGCAAGAAGGTGACAGGTTCATATCCCGGCAGTGCTTCCCATCTGTGTGGAGTTAGTATTTTCTCTCCATGCATGTGTGTGTTTTTTTTTTCCGGGTACTCCGGCTTCTTCCCACAGTCCTCAAACATGCATGTTAGGTTAACTGGTAAATGGTCTCTGGGCGTGAGTGGTTGGTCTTAATTTAAATATGGTTCAGTTTCAGAGGATAAAGTGGACTTTAATGACTCTGTCAAGTAAAAACATCTGGCTCATTCTGCCATCCTTATGTGAAAAAACTATGTAAAACTAACTACTATGGATTTGTTTTTCCCATTACCAGGTATGGTTAGCAGGCTGAAACATATTGTATCCAATCGACCAAGTCCTCCATCAACAGCAGGACTCGGCTATGGTAAGGGTTTAATTATATCCACCTCATTTCTTGCCCTCAACATCCTTAGTGTTACTGTTAGTGTTAATGTTAAGGTCTGTAGAAAGCTCCTTTCTTGTATGGGTCATTTCCAGCTAGTGGACCTTAATTTCCTGGTTCTTTACTTCCAGGGGAGGAAGACCAGTAACACTCTGTTCCTGATACACTCCCAAAAATTACTAGTATTATGTAAATTAGCATTAAATTGGTTTATATAGAAAAAGCAGTTGGAAAAAGGGTAGAATGCCTTCTCCGTGTCAGGGACAAGGTCCTGCCCCAAGTGGATGAGTTTAAGTATCTCGGGGTCTTGTTCACTGGTGAGGGAAAGCTGATGAGATCGCTGATACAAGTGGCCAAATTTTGTTTTGTCTGCAGGGTGTCTGGGCTCTCCCTTAGAGATAGGGTGAGAAGCTCGGTCATCCGGGAGGGGCTCGGTGTAGACCCACTGCTCCTCCACATCGAGAGGAGCCAGTTGAGGTGGCTCAGGCATCTAGTTAGGATGCCTCCTGGATGCCTCCCTGGTGAGGTTTTCCAGTCAAGTCCAACCGGGAGAAGGCCTATAGGAAGACCCAGGCCATGCTGGAGAGACTATGTGTCACAGCTGGCCAGGGAATGCCTCAGGATTCCCCAGAGGAGCTGGCCCAAGTGGCTGATGGGGAGAGGGAAGTCTGGGCCTCCAGCTTAAGCTACTGCCCCCACAACCTGACCCTAAGCCTAACCCCAGATAATGGAGTGATAGAAAAAGCATAGAAAACGGTACAAACAAGACAATATGACCCCCTGAAGCCACCCCTCGTGGTCATCAGTCAAAAGGGCCCTGAATCCTCTCAGACATTAGTGTTTATCCTTAGATTGGCCCTCTCCATTTGGTGGCATGGTTCAGATTGGATCAGTACATGGAAATGTGTAGAGATCTGTGTGCATCACAAATCTCATCTTATGTGAACAAGATGTGAAAATCATGGGTGTTGCTGTTATCTAGTCTGATTGTGTAAAGAACGAACACTCCGGCATACTTTCTGTACTGGACAGATAAATAATGGAGACATAACCTAAGCCATGTCCCAGATCAAATAAGTTCTCCAACATGTATAGGTTTAATGATCCTTTTCATTGTATTTTATTAATGTTAAACACTGGGCTCTATTTTAATCATTTATTTGCTTAATGTGCGCTGTTTACTCACACTGTAGATTATCTGTGTATTATTGCTTTAACATCATGGTTACTTGTTGAGAGTATTTTAGGGATAAGGACTAGAAAATAGTCAAAATGGGAGTTATTTCTACTGATACGGTCACTTCTGGCTTAGAACTGCTAGCTTCTTAGTGATAATATCAATTACGTCTTTTGGCAAAAACACAAAACATCAAATTTGTCCAGCTCACATGCCGAGTCTGAACATAAAAGTCCTCCTTCAAAGTGTTTCACTGTTTTCCAGGCGTGTGGGAAATCGATCCCCGTGACCTCACCTTCATCAGGGAGCTGGGCAACGGTCAGTTTGGGGTGGTGAAGTATGGAAAGTGGCAAGGCCAGCATGATGTGGCCATCAAGATGATTAAAGAAGGATCCATGTCAGAAGACGATTTCATAGAAGAAGCCAAAATCATGATGTGAGCACAACTTAAATCCACCTTGAATATAATGTCACCTGAACCTGCACTGACTCTGTTCCCAGAGGTTATTAACCTGATGATTAACATGAGGAAGTTTAGCTCCCGTAACTTTTAAAGAAAAAAGTAACTTAACTTCCTTCATCTTTTGCCCAAACCAGGAAGCTTCGCCATGAGAACCTGGTGCAGCTGTATGGCGTCTGCACCAAACAACGGCCTATTTACATCGTGACTGAGTTCCTCGCGAATGGCTGCCTGCTGACATACCTCAAGGAGGGTCTAACGGTTCATCCAACGACGGTCCAGCTTCTTGAGATGTGTAAAGACGTCTCTGAGGGCATGGCCTACCTTGAGTCCCAGCAGTACCTCCACAGAGACCTGGTGAGGGACAAATACCTGCTGTGCAAAACAAACATTCCTTAGATTCAACTGTGGTTTGAGGTCACATTGGAAGTTTAATGATTATGTTTGATCTAACTGTGCTGGTTTGTCTTCAGGCTGCCAGGAACTGTTTAGTAGATGGGAACGGTACAGTCAAAGTGACTGACTTCGGCCTATCAAGGTAAAAGATTCAACAGGTCATATCATAAGACAGGCACGGGTGAATTTTTCATTGTGACATTACATTTTTTAAACTGCACTTAGATACGTTTTAGATGATGAGTACACAAGTTCAGCAGGTTCAAAGTTCCCCGTTCGCTGGTCGCCACCAGAAGTCCTTCTCTACTGCAGATTCAGCAGCAAATCAGACATCTGGGCCTACGGTGGGCAGCCATTTACACAATGATGATTTGCTCTTTTTAATAACCAATACATTACCACGCCTAGTTTGTGGTTATGACTTCTGAAAATTGTGATTTTATAGGAGTTTTAATGTGGGAGGTGTACACTCTGGGTAAACTTCCTTATGAACGCCTTAACAACACGGAAATAGTGGATCAGGTGTCCAGAGGTATGCGTCTCTTCCGCCCCCAGCTGGCCAATGAAAGGATCTACAGCATCATGTCAAGCTGTTGGTCGGAAGTAAGCCTATTCTCTGTGAGCCTCAGTGGGTAACATTGAGTGAGAGTAACAATAAAAAACTCACAAATCATCTTTGCCTTATTTTCAGAAACCGGAAGAAAGACCCACTTTCCAGGAAGTGGCCCTGACTGTCCAGGATTTGCTT